ACCCCTTTTCCCTGATCTAATAATCCGCTCAACTGATTCAGCTCGGCTTATAGCTGTTCAACACTTTGACTTGCCATATTTGCAGAATCTTGTGAGGTGTTCAGCTCACGTAATTTTACCCGATAGTCTTCCACTTGGTCAGAAAATTGTTGAGCAAGTGTTTGTTCACGCTTTTGAATGCGATCTCTCGACTTTTCCAAATCATCCGCCACATGTTGAAGCATCTGCCTTCACCTCTGGATACATTTTCTCAACAGCCCTAAGTAAAACACCGGCACTTTCTATTCGAGAACGCCAATCTTGAAGAGCATCTGACCTAACCTGTAAAAGAGGTCCTACACGTTCCACTTCCAAGTTCCATTCCTCGGCATTAATCTCGGATTCTAAAGGAACACCAGCATCTTCTTTAACTAATCTTTCTCCGGTTGCACGAACATAAAGCTCTTCCTCATCATCACTTTCTATCATTACATTGTCTTCCACCTCTTCCCCAATACCATTATCATCATCAGCATCAGTTACTCCATCAAGCTCATCATACTTTTCCACATTTGTATAGTCAACAGAGCGAACAGTAAACCCCTTCTTGAGGAGTGCATGGTCTGAGAGAACCGATAAAATGGTCAAAACGGCTTCTCCATTTCCCTGGCGGATGCGATTTGGAGCAAGGTTTGGAGCGGATATATTCATGGCACGCAATTCACCCAATATATTGGTTGAAGTCGCATTTGGATCATCAAATTGACCAGGAGGTTCAAAGTTATGTCCAGCCAAACCCATAAGCCAGGAACATAAAGAAGTAAAGTAGTGGAACTGAGCATTTGGATTATCGATTGAAGAGGGCCCAGAAAAATAATACTTGCTCAAAGGTTTAAATGGAGGCTTGACACGCGGACAAAAATCCTTTTCGTAACGCAAAATTCTCAGCTTATCAATAATATCCTCCATGGTGCCATCATCTACAATGACGCCTTTGCCGGGAACACTGGGTCCAGTGGTTTGTTGCAGAATTTCTTCCTGAGACATTGATTTACTTTGGATACTTCTGCATAAAATCAAAAAATAAGATAGTAATAATAATAATAACAGTAATAATAATGATAATATTAATAGTGATTATTATTATTATTATTATTATTATTAAAATAAGAAAAAAAACTGGTAGTAATAATAATTTTTAATAATAAAATGTAGCATTCAAAATCGAAAACCGACACATCAAAATCCACACACTCCCTCAACAAAGAATTTATATACATATATCAACATAAGCTCTTATTTTTCTCTCATTTGTTTATCTTTACCTTCAAACAAAAGTTCTCATTGATAAAAAGCAAAGAAAAAAAAGGAAATGAAGAGAAAAAAAGCTCGAGCCATTTGAAAAATGAGTTCATTATTTTATACATGGGAGAAAGGATAAATTGTTGAAAAATTAAATACCCTTCTTAAATCTCATCGCCAACAAGCTTATTCATAAACAAGACATGTGTTTCCGTATAATCCTTCGAAGATTGTCCAACGGGAGTTCGCAATGCAGTTGATGAAACCAGTTTCCAAAGACCCTCCTCCTCAAGAGCATCCAAAAGAAGAACCATCAGATAGGAAATTCCATCTTCATCGCAAAATTGGCCATCCAACTTCATGTACCAATGATTTGGATTCGAGATATACTGAAATCTCGAAGGAGCAACTCGGGTACTTCGCGCGGTCGAAGTTGCATTAGGAATTACCTCATTTAATTTGTCAATTGTTTGTTCCTTCACAGGGCCCATGATCCGAATTTCGGGGCTGTTGAACAAAAGATTGATAACAAGGTTTTGAACCATTTCCTTTTCCTTTTTATTTGTTTTCTCTCTCTTTTTTTTTTTTACTTCCTGACCAGTCAATCAAGATACAAAAACCATGAATAAAACAACGGATATTAGAAAATCAAATTCAGAAGCGTTAAAATTATTCTCTTACTAAAATTTATTTGTTTATTATTCCCTTTTTTTTAATTCCGCAATACCAAACTAAAATTGATATTAACGATGCATTATGCAATAAATAGGATGGCTGTTTTCCAACTCCCCAACGAGACTCGAGCCGCCTCAATAAGAACCTCCTCATTTTCATTAAGTGGCTTGACCTCCAAAAGCCTCTTAAGAAGTTCTAACGATGCTTTCCAATACCCTTTATGAAGCAAGGCACTCGCAGCTTTGTCAATGTCAGTTGCACTTGTCACAATTCCTTCCAAGTGCGATCTATCGCCAAAAATAAAAGTTGATCCTCTTGTACGTTCAAGAGAACCTACAAAATCCAATGCAGTTGTGTCGACAGCATTACATTGGAAAAAATGCCTCAATTCATCTCTGGTTTCTTTAGAATATATTCTTGATGAACATTTCAAAACCACAGTGGAAAATCGATCTAAAAGCTCCACATATTTTCCCGCATTATATTCTCGAACAAAACATTTGCAAAGATCCTGTAAGCTACCGGATGGAATCTCTTCAATTCCATGATTGCTCAAAATTTCCAATATGGAGATGGCCTCTTCATAACGTTGAATAGAAATAGCAGAACGAAAAAAGGTTCGTTGCAATGATCTTGACCCACGAAAATATTCCGTTTCTTTAATCCAAAAAAATGTGTCCTCCATCTTTCCAGCTTGATAGGCTAAACGGGCCGCAGCAACATCTAAGAGTTCCTTTCGCGTATCTGACGATATGTCACGTTCACTAAGTCGCACTAACAAGGAGATAGCCCTTTGCCACTGGGACTTCAACGGAAAAGCTGTGTTCACAAGATGAGGTATGGTACCTCGTCTTCTTCTTTCTTCAGGAGGAATAAAAGTCGGGTCATTTGCTAGTCGAAACGCATCATTTAATGCCAAAGCTACATCACTATCAATATGTTTCTCTTCTATAATATCCCCTGTTATCGTTTTTTTTGAATCGCTATAAAATTTTTCATTCATAATAAGCTGCTGAAGTACATATATTGACTGTTTCCACATGTTACAAAACGCTAATTCATCAATCAAGGCTTCCCCTGTTGCGTCATTTGGGTTCCATACCCAAAGGTTGATTGCCGAACGCCATAAATCATGGCGAACAAGTGCTTTTAACATCAAGGAGCAAGTGGGAATATCCTCAAAAGAAAAAAGACGTGCCCATGAGCTCAGCTGTCCCGGAACCCCATTTTGCTTCAAAAACAACAGGGCAATCCGTTGTGCATGCTCCAATTCGAGAGAGGAACCAACTTCAACTAAAGATCTTTGATAATGAGCAATTGCGGTTTCCCATGAAGGCTTCTTTTTGCAGAGAGACGAAACTAACGGTTTAAACGCATCCCAACGATGCATTCCCTGAACGCCCCGTAACGACACTCCCGGCAACAGCGAAACAACGTAAAAAAATAAAAAAAGAAGCGCCAGAAATAAGACAGTCCACAACAGCAAAAAAAAAAAAAAAAATGGGGCGCAAGAAAAACAAAGACACCAAAATGAGGAGCGGAAACGATTCCAGACACGCGTCCGCGGGGTTGCGAAGAAAGCCGCGGGGGGCGCCAACACGCCGGAAAACAAAAAAAACCCTCGACAACAAACGCCCCAAAAAAATCCGGAGGAACGGGGTGGGAGGGAGAAAAATCACTTCCTTCCCCTGTCGCGGGCCCGGCGCGGATCTCCAGAGGGGCGGTCGGGGTCTTGGGGTGCCGTCCGCCTTCGCCGGCGGGAGGCGGCGGCGCGCTTTCGGTTCCGGTGTTTGCCGCGACTCGAGTGTTTTTTTGTTTTTTTCTTTTTAGGAGGAGCGGTTTTTATGTAGTGGCTGTTGTCGTTTTTGCGGTTTTCTTTTTTATTATTATTATTTATTTTTTTTTTCCTTTTTCTTATTTTTTTATTGGGAGTTTTTTTTTAAGGTTTGACAGAGATCCTTTATTTTTATCTTTTTGGAAACATGGATCCATTAACCGTTTTGGCTTTTTGTCCGACGGGTGAGTTTGCTCGCATAGAACGTGTGATCAGAGAGTGGTCTGGTGTAGAGGCTGTTGGATCTCTGCGAATCAAAGAACGTAAAAAAGACATCACAAATGTATTCATCAAATTTAATAGCGAAGATATAGCTAGAAGTGCTTCTTTGCAAATTGATGAAGTTCCCGGTCTTTATTTGACCGATGAAGAGAAAGGTGAAAAGCAGAAAGGCGCTAAGAGGAATGCAACAAAAGGAAGGTCGAAAACTGTTGAGATTGAATTAATGAACTTTGGTACATACAATCAAGAAAAAGTTGCATTGGAACAGCAACGAAAAAAAGGTTTTGAACGGAATCGACAGGACCGCGAAAGCAGGGGCCGAAGAACTCAGCGCGGATTCAGAGGGTTTATTAACAACAGAGGAACTAAACTGCGACCTTTCATTTTTCCTTCAGCGCAGGTAAATGTGGCTTTTGTTGATAATATTCCATTTAACATGACTAACGATCAGCTAACTGAAGTGTTTTCCCCTTTTGGTCGCGTTCTTGATATCAACAGGTATGAACTTATGGCCATGATTTTTTACGATTCTCCAGAATCTGTTTTGCGGTGTATTCAGCAGCTTAACGGAAAAACTGTCAGGGGGAATATTATTTCAGTCAGCAGCGGATCCGTTCGGATCCCAGGTCCAGTGGCGCTTCAAATGGGGATATAGTTCGTTGAACCTAATTAAACCACGCCCACACTAAAAAAAGAAAGAGAAGAAAAGACAGAAATAGCTTTTGAATTTTTGTAATCATCGTATAAATACGCTTCGAATTCTTTTTGCTTTTACTTTCCCTTTTTTTTTTTTTTTTTGCTAGTTCCTAATGCGTTACTTATTGGATATAAAATGTTTTTTAGCTTTTGCTTATTTTGCCTTTTTTTTGTGTGCGCCTTTTTTTCTGTGCTTATTTGTTTGTGTGCTTTTCAGCGTTAGTGTTGAAGGGATGAGGAGCACATGCAGACTCTTTGACCAGAC